ATAATAAAATAAACCGAAAAATAAACATGAAGTCTTCTTTCTGGATGGTGTTTGTGTGTGGGTCGGCTGATCCTCGGCTCGATTGGGCCGACGGACTGTTTAGTTGTATGAATCATATATTTTTGTCAGGATGTCAGAAAGGTGAAAGAAGTATGTTGACTGGCAAGCGCCATTTGCTTAAAACTAACTTAGCTTCAAGATGCCACAACGTCAGTATAATTCGTATATTTCTATCAGGAAAACAGAGGTGAAGGGAGGATGTATGTACATATACACCTTCAAACACTTCCATCGAAACTATTGTTTGCTGTTATCAATTGATATAAGCGATGAAATGATCGAATGTGTATGACTTAGGGACACAACCAGTGGCATTTTTAGCATGAAAGTGGCTACTAGATTGCTGCTCCGCAGTAACCTGGACAGATAATTAATTATGCATGTTATTAGATGATGCAGGACTGACTTCAGAGTTTTGTGCGCCCTGAGGCAAAGGTTAAAATATGCACCCTCCCACCACATTAATTGAGAGTTTTGCGCCTCCCCTGACTCACTTGCTTACCGAGTAGCCGGACCTGGGTATGTACGTTTGAATAGAGATGTTACCGCCCTGTTTTCCGTCAGATGCCTGAATTCGCCTGGTATTTTCGATGACGCTATAAAGCATATCGACCTCGGAATATAGGAACGTAACAGTAAGACTTGTTGTATTGTGAGGCGACAGCGACGGGTGGCGTGCAGGATTGCCAGGCCGGCCGAATACAATCAAACCATATTATATTACACCTTATAATATTATTTACGCGTAAAAATAGCCATTGTTATATTATTTACGTGTAAAGATAGCCACTGTTAAACAATGATTTCATCTCTCCTTGAATTGTGTGAGGACAAAGCATACACACAATTGCTAGTATTGATCAGAGCAGGACAGTCAGACAGTATAAGGGTGCGAGGCTTGCGTAAATAACATATAAGTATGTTGTAATATATGCTTTGATTCTGTTCAGTCCATATGGCAACCCTGTCGAGCACCCATCGCCGCTAATTCAAAGTCTAACTGTAGCCTAAGATGTAAATTTATCAAATAAATAAGAAATCTTGAGTCAGAACAAGCGGCTTCGCATTCTCTATGGAGGGGCCCCATGTCGCGATTTGCAAGGGGGCCCTACCCGTTTATGACGATACTATAAAATACTTTATTTGTAGGTATGTACAGGAAATTTAAAAATAGGCGCATTCGAAATGCATGGAAGCACCAAGTCAATCTACTTGACACCGTTTTGTTTTGCAAAGCAGTTATTAAGTAACACAAAGCTTTAGATTGTCTTAAGGTTCCTACACTCTATGTTCCTGTGTGTACTGGATCTGATATGATTCGTTCTCATCCCATAATTCTAGAGATAATGTCATCAGTGTTAATTTCGAAAATTTTCATCTACGGATCAAATATTGGGGTCAACGTACGAGATAAGGACCTTCGTGGCATTACGGATAGTACTTAACAATTTTTTTCCTTACACACGTCGGGACTACTCTAGCCCTGGTGGCTGTTGCTCTGCGCCTGGAAATACTACTACCCGCCTTTCCGATCTTCAATATGCAAAACCGAGTGAAGCTCTATGAAGGTGGCGCTTCAATTTCAATCACCGGCAAGTTTTTGTTCTTTGAAAACATATCGTCTATATCGCATCCAACCCTCAGTTGTCTACCGTAGTCCGACATTCTGCATTCGCACTCACAAGGCATTTTCCTAGAAGTTTGCGGATCTGAATGAAAAAAAAAATACAAAGTTACACCTGCATAGTGTTTTGGTCACGCCTCTTGTCTGATTGTTACAAATACGTTCAGGAACTCTAATGGATTTTCATTTGATGCCATTTTTTCAAGGTTTTGCTAAGAAGGTTTAATCATTCTTCTGAGGAAGGGTGTTATTACACCTGTAACTCCACCTCGTTGTCTCCTCCCTTAAACACGGGATACAAGTTACAAATCCTAAAAACACATGTCACGATTGAAGTGGTCTCTTGGAGAGAACATATCGAAGATATTCACTCGTTCATATTTGCCTGATGAAAATATCTTACCCAACGTGCTTCCGTCATCCAGCAGGAAAGTCGAGTGAGCTGGCATTGCAGCTTGAAAATTATTACCTCTTATTCACTCATATTGCTCTGATAGAAAAGAGCTAGTTAACACCGCTACTTTAACGGACAGAGAGGGTACAAGGATAATAAAATAAATAAAATAACCTACCTACCTACCTGATTTGATAACAAGGAACTGTTTGACTGACTGATGAATAATGTACCTTTTCGTTTTGTTTTTTACCCAGGAATGAAGCTCATTTCGGATACTGCTAAAATATAGGTATTATAATATATAAGATTCACATCTTTTATTTTTCACCGATATAGCTGTAAAACACCCTGAACATATATGGGCGACAGCTAGAACATAACATGGTGGACGATTTCTATGTTTGATTATCCATATTATTTAGTATTAATCTAGCCTTTTCAAGAGCTCCTGGAAGGCATTCGAGTATTCAGGCCTAAAAGTCAAATAGAAAGGACCGTTATGGCTGTTCAATTTATTGCTTAATGAGAACTCCTGAAAATGAATATTATATTAGAGCTCTTAGAATAAACATCAATTTGGTTTATATAGTGCACGATTTAAAGATATAAATTGTTTGAAACATGATTGATATTAGAATATGTACCTGTAGCCTCCCAAAAAATGTACCTTTTAAAATGTAAGTGAAAATTAGCCATTTGGAACCGATCGTTAACAATATGCCAATAATGCCGCTACGGATTAGGTACGGATTGTGCCGACGAGAGGCTTATATTATATCGCCTGGAGTTTCTGCTACCCCTGTTAAAAGTATACGATTTAAACCGACGTTGTGGCGTCCTCCTAGCGCCGCTTAAACCCCGGTTTAACTAGCGGTTTACTCGATACTTGGAATTGACTCGGGTTATCGTTACTTATCGGTATCGTGTCTCGGTAGCTGTAGGAAAAATCGAATCGTTAGTATCCATGATACTATTTTGCAGAGAATCCCTCGAACTTGGGTTGTAAAATTAGGGAGTGGGCTGGTAGGGGTTGGGGGAGGGTGTATATCAATTTTAAGTTTAGGAAGGGGCAACGTTGCCAGATGGACGGTAACTGCCACCGGTAGGGCAGGGAAGGAATGTCTATAGGTTAATGGTGATGATGGTTTTGTGTAGTAAGTGCAGTGTCAAACTGAAATTAATCCTGTAGTCTACATGCTGATAGAAATCCACGATTTTCTGTATAGTAGCCAAGAAAGGTAAGAAACTAATGAACTGCCACCAGGAAGACAGACCCAGAAATCTATTGTTAAGTTCTCAATTTGTACTTTGGAAAATGAAATCGCGGTATCCAAAAACGCCAGCAAAGGTAATTTTTAGATATGTGGTTCCATTTAGCCAAAAAATCATGGAGTTCTACCATAGTCAAATTTATTTTTGATACAATCTTTCCGTGACATTAATTACATGTGAAGTTCACTGGTTGCTGAGATGTTCACGGTTACATCGTCTTGAGGTGGTGACTTTACTAGAGAAAAAATATAACCACTACATAACCTCAAATCAGCTGCAAAAACAAAATACTAAAGATATAATTTCCTGTTATATTAGCACCACAGATATTCTCATTTGGGATTATGCTCCCATAAGAACGATCGCAAACAATAATTACAAGAGTGACTTCTTACACGCGCTAAGAATTGCTTTTCGCAGTAAATGGAGAGGAGTATTATAGGGGGGATTCGGCCTGTGACCCAGAAGGAGATTAAGACGTCCCTAAATCTTTCTAATCTCGTCAAGACTGTGCCTTTCGCCCTAAGGAAAAGGGATTGCAGAGACGCTTACGACTAATAATAGATCAAAGATATCCGAACGAGGGAAAACTATAGAAACTGCCTGGGATGGCAATGAAGTTCGTGGAACTGTTCAAATGGGCGTGATGAGATCAAAACTGTTGATAAAGGTGGATCCTGAAATCACTTTCTATAGGCTGAAAGCACTGTATGCGAAGTCTATTGTTGCTGTATCATTGATTAGCGCTTCCAACCGGAACACCGCCAATATAATGCTATATTTTCGCGTCCAAAAAATATTCCCTGATAAAATGAGACACCGTAGCTAACTCCCTAGTATAAGTATTTGCATATAGTAAGTAAGGCTGTGGTAAGTGTCCTGAAAACTTATAGTATATAGTGATATAGGTCTTCATTGTTTGGCCAAGTGAAAACTACATATATATTTATATTTCTATTTATTTTACAACGTTTCGGGCACAATTGTGGTCTTTTGAGGGAGTCGGAAAAGAAACGTACGTCTACAATATTTTTCACTAAGAATTGAAAATTGCGCATCTATTTCAAATATATATCTGTTACCGTGCTTAATCTTCTTCTTCTTAATCTAAAATCATAATTGATGATTGACAACACTGATGGAAGAGTTATTCATCGAGTCGTTCTCGGGAGAACAAGTGAAAAGGTATCGCCATCTCTAAAGACGAAATTTATGGAACGTTTAATGGCATGAACAGTCACTATCTTACGGAAAATGGATAAATTCACAAACTTGATTGACAAATGTTAATAGCTACCAGAATTCGGGATAATTCCCCAACAAAGAGAACCACTCCAACTTTATCTCAGTCATGCTACGTTCTCGTTTTCAAGAATAGAGATTCAGGGTATGTAGGGTTTTTGACAATTATTTTTTTAATAATAATTTTCAACTATAATTCAGAAAGTAGCTAATGCTTAACATTATCCACACGCTTTTAAAATATTTAACTATTTTTTATTTTTTTAAATCATCAACAAGGTGGGGTTCCGATTTTGGTTCTATACATCTATATCCAGCTACCACGAACAACCCTTTACTCTTAGCGCACGTCAAACAAGCACTGTGTTGAAAAATCTAACCATAATTTATATAGTATATTCAGTTCTTTTGGAGATACAAGCTATCTAATTAAAAATCCACTACTTCTCACAGTTTCTTCTGTACATCTCAGTAAGGCTTTCGAAGTTTCTTTTCATATCACAATTTATAATATTATGTTTTCATTACAACCTCTGTGACATCTTCTGTAGTAAGGGCTGCTATGCTATCCGTAAAACCTTCCGTATTGGATGAGCCTGAGGATGTTTCGATAAACTCTGTAGTTATGTCGGTGGTGGTTGTCATGTTGTACTGTACTTCTAGTAAGTAATATTCCACTTCTTTGTCCAGTTTGATAGGTTTGGTGTTGCAGAATCTAGCTCTACAGGTAGCGCAGTATTCCAGCTCAGAATCCTCACCTTCTTTGCAGATATTCTCTGTGGTGCAGCCTCTTTCAAATGACGGTTCTCCATATTCAGTCACTGTAAAAATCAGGAAGAACTACTGCTTATAAATGGATGAATCTAGATTATTATAAAACGTATACTTTTATCGTATGACAAGCCTTTTTGATAAGTCCAAAGATGTCTACCAGACATGAAAGAAATAAGGAGCCACTAAGAATAAACAGATGAAAACAGTATCCACGAATTTTGAGACGTATGATGACAACATCCAAAGGAAGAAACCCTGTCTATATTTTAGAACCGCTGACTCTCAATGGTAACTTGTCACGAACCCTTGGATGCTACTACCATATGCCTCAGAATTATACGTAATGCTTACAACGGATCTCATCTTGCCCAGTTGTGCTGATGAGACTTAGGCTATGGTTGAAATGTGATGAAACTAGATCTCAATTTTGAGACAGTTCAGAAAGTTAACATGAAGATAGACAATATATGCTAATTTTCATCAAATTATTTAACCATCAGATTCTGCTACACCTCTGTGTTGTAATGGATAAGTCAACCGTCATGAGAGTATTTATACTCACCAGTTGCTGTAGTATAGCATCGTGAAAATATCCCCCAACATAACTCCATTCTACCATCAAGACTATTTAGTCGGCCTTCCAGTTACACACTTGTCTTTGATATCAGTAGTTTCACACCGTATACAACTTAGGCTCAAACCTAAAAGAATGCGTTTTCGAAGTCACAAGTAAGCCAGTTATGAAAGTTAGCAGGAAACTTTCTAACTACAGTTAAGCAAAAAAGAAGAAATTTAAAAATCGTAAAGCTCAGTCTACCTGAAATTATTAAAGTCGCATTCCTTTAAAAAATCGGCGCATTCAGAAAAAACATTATTTAGTAGTAACCCTACCTCACTACAGACCTCATAGATCACGTAGCTTGCTGTATTACTTTTGTGTTTTATATGTACACGAAATCTTTACATCTTGCTAAGAAAAACGTGAGTATTAAATATTTTCATTGTAACGTATGAAGAAAGGTCTCATAAAGAGCTCTTCTTAAGTTAGAATGTCCTTCTGTACTTGGTCCTATAGGATATGTCTTTGCCTTTGTCATAGAGATTGGGGCTTTGTCAAGTGTGAGAAAAAGGGCATCTTGTCTCGGCAGTAATATTGTCATTTATCGCCACGTTCTAATCGCAGGTTATTTTTTTAGCGTGAAACACAGATGAATTGAATGAGCTCGCTGTCAATTTACATATTCCTAGATCCAGTTTAGTTAAGAGGGGGGATAAGCCTTGAAAGATATGGAGATAACGGAGGATAACGAAAAAAATGCGACGTAAGGTCGAAAAGGCGTAATAAGGGTCAGCAGCATTTTATCATTTTGCGACATTAAGTTATATCATCTGATAGTATATAACTGTTATCCAATATTAAAGTATTTAGTATTTGATGAATGATGGTTCCCGTTTCCCGTTTTAGGGCCGTATCGTCACTCGTTATGGCCTGCTTGATTTCATACAGCAGCAAAACTCCACAAGTCACAAAATACAATATTGATCAGTAAGGACACTGAGATTGATAAACTATAAAATGATGTTATTTCCATACTATACGTTTGTAACGTTTTAATCATACAACACGGCGGTTGCTGAATTCAGGGCAATTCGATATAGAAGCTAACACATTGAATATTGAGAAGGAAGGAATATGAAAACGTAACTACGCATGAAGAATTGAATATGTTTCCGAAACAAAAAACGTCAAATCGCGCAAGTACAAATTCGGACGTAAATGATTCGTGAAAAATTTTTAAAGGAAAACTGTTTGGCAAAGCTGATGTTAATTGGAACTCCAATAAATAAATATTTGGTTTAAAAAAGTAATAATTAAAAGGTTACTGTAGAAGCCTATAATTGAGTGTGTGCGAAAATTGTTATACGTGGCCAAGCCAAGAAACTCTCTATTTGGAAAACGATATCAAGTAGATTGACTTTATACTCCCCACGCCTTCTAGTATAAAAATCCTTCATACTGTAGTAATAAGCATAAAAAAGTGTTTTTCAACAATGTTTGATACTTACGAAATCTAGTAACCTCATTAAATTACACTACAAGCATAATCTGTATGACTATATCGCGCACACCTCCTAATGGCATGTCCCATCACCGCCTGCTTTAGTTCCTCGAATCCACTACCAAAGATGCAGTATTTACAACCCCTGGATCATGGCAAGTGCTACCGATATTTTTTTGTTTTAAGGGTGAATGTATGCGGAAACGTATGATGTGTGAAGAACTGCCGGGGTTGGAAATGTCATTAATGCACTAACATCAAAAAATTACGGTACATTATCATCCAAACATATGCAACACCGCAGCCCCAAAAACCTTTATATATATACTTTTTTTAGGAAAACGGCAAAATACGAAGTTTGAACGATTTTTATTTTTTGTGTTTTTGGTTTTTTGCCCAAAAACTACAATGCTTTCTTCTTTCTCGGCACAGTAGTAACCATGTGTAGAAATTTCATTCAAATCGGGAGCAGTATCTTCCAGGTTATAGAGATGCCAACGATTAGTGGATATGCCGACTGAATGACAGACAGACGGATATGAGTGACATGATATTTGATGATGTAGATACATGTCGTATAAGATCCAAAAAACATATTATCTCATTTTCGAATTTTTTCGCGATTGCAGTACTCACTGTGCATGGGAAGTAGAAAGAAAAGACAGAAACTATCTAATGAGTCTAGGCGGTTGGCTCGGTCCAACATACTGTAAGGCGGCCAGGAGTACCATTATCCTGTCTTCCCATTTTAAGTACAGTTAATGTCTGATCACAGAAGCTAGATTTATAGTCGATAGGTTACATTTTGGTCTTGGAATGCAACATGACAACTGGACAAATTACTTACCCACACGCATCACTCCTGAAAGAACAAAGTAAACAAACATAACTAGTCTATAACGCTCCATGAGGCTCTTCATTGTATACTGACAGCACAATATTTGCTTACAGAGACTGATGAGATAAGGGCATACTGTAATTGCCCACATTCTCACCGTTACATATTCCACTTGTTAATAGTTTCTTAATTGTTTATGATTTGAAAGGAATACACAGGGTGGTACAAGTGAAATGCTTTACAGTAATGCGTATACAAGATTCATAATACTCGTATTTATTTACTTAATATGAAGCTTGCTGGTTGCTGTACTTAGTACCATCGTCAGTAAGCCAATCTGACGGATGTTTTTTAGACCTTTCTTGAATTCTTCTTCAAAAGCACCTACGTTAAGCTGATCAGTCGAGAAATTCTATTACCACTACCTTTTTCTTTTTTGGTTTTGGAGTGGTTTCGATGTCACCATTTTTAAACTAATCAATTTGATTCAGCGTCAGTCTTCCTGTTTCTTCTTATAAATTAATACTTCTCACTAGAGGCAATCCATTTTATATGATTTCAATGACCAAGAAGGTCTTGGCCAGGTTCATTGGTAAAGATCTACTTACTTGAAGTTAATATTGTCCTCTATATGCATTTCAAGAATGAAAAATAGATGTTAAAAATTGATTTGATCTTCACATGACCTTGATTGTCACAGTGAAAGTCTTGAAAATAAACGAAAATAAAGTTTCTTACTATTCCTATTTCCGATTTCATTCACTTCAAAAAAATGCCTTTAGCTTGAAGTCAGTCACGTTCAAGATCACGCTGAAGCTCATGAGATGAATCTTTTCAAACCTTACAATTTTTTTCTTTATGCGAAATATTTTGTCCTTTCCCTTCTTTCGTGAGGTCAAGGTCATGGGCAAAGACATACTATAGCTTAAAATTTCCAGCTCTTTACATCTGCGATATCAAAAATAAGGGTTTCATTAAAGAAAACTGTATTGACCTTCAAATTATCTAGAAGGTCATAGTAAAGGTCACGTTTAAGATCACCAATTTATGGATCTTTTTAAATCTTACAACTTTGGTTAACAATATACTCGTAGAGATATTCCGATCTACCCTTACTTTTTGAACACCCTATATATTTTGGTGGATAAAACCGAGTATGTAACCTTTCTCAAGTTTCAATTGGTAAGTGTACGTCCCTCCGTATTGTGGTTCAGACGTGATGCTTCTAACAATTTAGAAAATCTTCAATGGCTATTTCAAACTTTTAGTAGTTATGAAAATCTTGAAAATGCTGAAGATCGTACAAGTTTCTTAAACTTTGGAGGTTTTCAAATTATGAAAGCCTGTGATGACAGCTGTAGCAGCCTATTGCGAAATGCAAATGCTATCCATCCATCTTAGAACCTTTTTGAAGAAAGTGCTATTGTCAAAGGAGACAACAAACTACTTTTTTCTCTTTTCAAGTTTATATCACGTAAGTGAAACTAGATCACTAACTTTTGTTCTTTCTGTACAAGATTCTGCTTAATAGATTCCATGATGACGAGGTCTGTGAGTTAGGTGATGAGACTGCCAACGTAGCTCTCGATCTGACAACACTGGAGGCGTTGGGCTTGGAGGAAAGACAGGGGAGCCATTTGGTTGTCCGCATTGTGTTCTAAAAATGAGCAACAGTGTGCTATAATGTTTTTCTTCAGACTCGGGCGCATTGCAACGAGAAATTGCTGAAGTGGAGATGGTGGTTTTTCAAGAGCTTAGGTTTTTCGCTGAAGGCAACCAATGAAAATATCGACAGAATCCGAGATCTTTTGCGACCAGGTCGTCCTTTGACAGTCAGAGTTATCGAGGAAGAGTTAAATTTGCCTCACACCACTGTTCATCAGATTTTGACTAGTGAATTCGGTATGAGAAACATCTGCGCGAAAATGGTTTAAAAAACCTTTCTCAAGACCAAAAGGCCATTAGGAAAGAAAGGTGCCTTGACTTTTTGGATTCGATTTAAAATGATTCCCATTTTCTGGAAAGGGTCATCGTGATCAGTTTTGGGTATTTGAGTAAGATCCAGAAACCAAGCGCCAGAGCATGGAGTGGCACACTTTAACCTCTCCAAGGCCCAAAAAAACCAATAAATACAAAGTCGAAGATGAAATGCATGCTGACTACTTTTTTCGATATCCACGGAATCGAAAAAGTGTCACTTGTATTAGACCAAACAACAAAAACAACTCGGTGTTGCAACACGATGGTGTTCCTAGTCACACAGCAATCTCAATAAACACGTTTTTGACCAGTAAAAACATTCCTGTTGCTCCTCAGCCACATTATTCTCCTGAGTGGAGTCTTTGTGACTTTTTTCTTTTACCGAAGTTAAAAGTCACCCCAAGAAACCTCATTTTGGCACAGTCGAGAACACTAAAACGGTTGTAACCGATCAGCTGAAGGCTATCCCAGTATCGGAGTTCCAGCACTGTCATGAGAAGTGGAAGAACCGACTTCAGCGCTGTGTGACTTCAGAAAAAAGTTATTTTTGAGGATGACAACATAAAATTATAATTATATTTGAACAAAATAAAAAGCTAAAGAAACCGTGTTATCGAGTAACTGACAGACTTCGAAAATAAAATGACAGGATGCTTATTCGTTAATAAACATCGACTAAATATTCAATTTATTTGTCTGCCTGTTTCTTTATAAGCAACTTTTATGGTCAACACGTGTTTGGAGCCTATTTTCCTGGCTGAACAGTCAATGGTACTGCTCTCAGGCCTTGTACATAACCTCTAAGTTTGACATGGTGACAGAGAAATTTTGCAAGTAATCGAACAAATTCATTCTACCCATTACTCCAAAAAAGCATTTTCATTGGTCGAATTTGTGCCATAGGCGCAAGTATAGATCCCTGCGCGTCAACAGTAAGTTCGGGCCTTAGGCCCGTATCGTCAGTCGTCCCTACAATTGTAGGGCGCGTTTATGGCCTCCTTGATTGTCATAGTTTTCTACTTCTCCGTGTCAGCGCTCTATGTTGAGGTTATGTCACAAACAACTATTTGCATCAAATTGTGCTTGCTTTTGACTTTTATCATGTTTTATCAGCCTGATATTTCCTACAACTTAAAAGGAAAACACATCTTAACAATAGGAGAGCGCTGACGCTGACACGGAGAAGTGGAAAACTATGACAATCAAGGAGGCCATTAAGGCGACCTACAATTGTAGGGACGACTGACGATACGGGCCTTAGTGTCCTCACCCATGAGTATGTGGTTATTTTATGTTAAGCTCCTGTAAACCTCTTGCATCAACGATTTCACTTCCAGATGCACCGCATGCAATTTGATTTTGATTAAGCTGCATCACATAAGCGCAAATACGCCTACTTCCCGTCCATCCTCCGCCGTATGCAGCTCCATGTATCCCGGAGGAGCGAATCCGGGCATAATACGTCGGAAATGCGGCTGACGTAACTGCGGAAGCCCTCCGCTAAGCAGCTTTGCCTCCAGTGGATCAACATCTTACGCCCTCAAATCATAAAATCCACTTAATAATTCTCCGGAAAGCATAACATTCGCTACCTTGCTGGGCTGCTAGGCTTCAGCTGCTGCAACGGGTCACACAAGGATTCAACACTGCATTTACGCGTCTAGTTGATTTATCTAAGCGTCTCTAGGTAATCGTCTTACAAGGTTGACAATGTACTGTGCGTTGGTTATATCATTGACATACCGCTGCATGGTCTCTAAATGTAAAACTATAGTTTATTCACTGAAACAAACAGTTACGTTATATTTAGTAAGTTTGAATGCCAACATTAATGCAAAATAGATCCTGAATTGGTACGTATAGAGTTTCCCGGGTACATTTATGTTGGTAACAACTTTCTGTGGTGTGACATTGTCGCAAAACTTGTCAGGCAATTACACCAAAGGCTGCTGTTTATTTGTGGTTTGTTTTCGATCTTTTTGCCTCAATATTTTCATTGTTATTATATAAAAAAACAGTTTTTTTAGAACTTTAAGGTGCCCTTTTAAGCATTTTACCAAAATGCCGAAATATCTGGGTCTACAAGCAAAATAATTCATTTTTTGTTTGACGAAATATTTTGAGACCGAACGAGATCATGGAGGTCCATTATTGCCTTTATAGTCCGTAAGAAAGGTGTTAGGATATTAGGTAGTAAGTAGAATTTATACTAGCTCCAGCGTCTACAAAACGTACGCTTCGTAATGTTGGTTGTTGCAAGACTTTGTCCTAGGATCTAGTAGTTTTAATTAATGTGGCAACCGTGTACGTCACTGTCATTCTTTGATGTTTTGACGTAGCTGCTTTGATTCAGTGAATAAACTTATCTAACTTTGCTAGTACAGTGTACGGCAGAGCCAACTATGCGGTTCAAAGAGTTAAGAACATACATCTGGATGGGAAAAAGTTTTGAATGTTTTAGAAATGTTGAAATTAGGCCTCCCTCAGAAAAAAGTCAGTTACGGGTATATATAAAAGAGAAATAAAGCAGATTATGTCCGTCAAACAAATCCATATATTCGGTCCATAAGATGATTTCCTGCCTTACCCGTAGAACCATTCATCTGGCAACGCCGCGTCGCCTCTCTCAATACCTCAAGGCGCGATGCTGGTTGAGGACAGTCTATCGTTTCATGTTTCAAGGCCAAATGTAAGGGGAAGTCTATTGTGTGTGAAATACGAGGCCTGTAAATCAAGTGATGAGACTGGCAACGTAGCATTCGATCTGGCAACACTGGAGGCGCAAGGCTTGTAGGGGAGACAGGATATCACGTGATCCGCCTTCAGTACAAGTTTGAACTCGCTCGAGTCACTTGGTTTTCCGTTGACATTTTTCTGTGAAGTTAGGTTTCCCTATTGGGTTCTAGAAATGAGGTTTTGCTTCAGACATTGGCACAGTGCAACGGAGACTCTTGCTACACAGGCCTACAAAGATTCAGATCATCGAATGATCGAGGGAGAGTTGAATTTTACTCACACCGCCGTTCATGAGATCAAGAACAACAATCACGATAATGGTCCTCGTCACAGTCTTTGGCCAGTAAAAAATGCATCTCTAAAACGTCAAAAACGAGGTTTGAGCGATTTTTATTTTTTTTCATCACCGATTTTACAAAAGTTCCGCCAACTTCTCTTGGCCG